TAATCTTTCGGGACCACAAGCATTGTTGGCCAAGCGAATTAACCGTTATGTACCTCAACGTTTGGAGAAGAACTGATGCGTGAGCCACAGGGTTTCCGCAAGGTGGTCCACATCTCACGAAAGCTTTTATTATCCAAAACAGTCTCAAAGTGTATTCCGTTCATCTTATTTCAGTTCTAATCAACACAGAGAGCTCGTTGACACTTACACATACCGGTCATGTAAGCAGTCTCTTTAGCATGACAGAGTCGCTTAACGAAGGGTGAGAAAAACTTACCGGTTCGACTATAAGTAGTTTCAACAGGGCACATTGGTCATAAAAGGAACTACGATTATCAGTAAGATGTTGGCAAGACAAAAGCAGCTGAATTTGGGAGAACACATAATAATCAGGAGAAGAAACTAAGTCCCGCAGCCTGGACAAGTTCTCCGGAGAATAGTTTCTTTTCCGTAGAGTATGAGAGCCTTGTCGAGTATCAAGCGGTGTTTTACAGGATATCTTGGGGTAAAGAAGAATGTTACAGCGGTCAGAACTGCTAATTGAGACTCGTTTGAAAAACATGAAATATATTGAGACTATTTGCATAAATGCCATCAAGAAAGACTTTGGTTCGGTTTGTAAAATTGACAAGATTCACTAAGCATAAAGTAGTTAGAAAGGAGGTATCAAAGCGATTAAAGTCTCCAGCGGGAATACACAAAGACTGATCAATACAAGTGGTGAATTGTGTTACTATGGTATCAGGGGCGAGTATATATATATATAAACCAAATCTACTGAGAAAGCGGGGCTTGCAGCGAACGAAAGTACAATTAATTTTGTCTGTTGAGTAGGAATAAATCAAACGAGTGCTCTTACACCAACTTCGATTTACGAAAGTGACCACTCCGCCACCTCTTGCAAAATGTCACAATCCGGTCGTTCCTGAAAATATCAAAGCCATCCAGTCCGACCACATCATCCTCAATATCTGGGTGTAACCAGCTTTCCTGGAGTAAAATAACTTTCACACTGCGTCGTTTCTGGTGCATCAGATTCTGGACCTCATCGATTTTTCCCACAAGCGAGGGAATGTTACTTGAACAAATGGTCGGAATCGTCATTCTGTTGATAGAATTTCGCCCGCCAGCCAGCGCGATGCTTATTGCGGTAACCTTGACGTTTATTTCCTAACTGTTTGTAACAATTCCTCACGGAATAAGCAAACGCTGAAATGACGACTTCATTCGAGAAAACACAGGGATTTCACAATGTAGGAATTGTAGGTCATTATTCGATCTTGAGAAATTGATGTAAACGTGCACAGTCAAGTGTATTCACTGCAAAAAACCTAAATAATTATCCAATTTCGAAAAGCACGGTTGAAATTCAAATGCCCCGCCCATGCATATACAGCCCGTATACAATGAAGACAGACGCAGACTGTGGATTTATTTGGAAATTACACAAAAGGCGTTCACAACTCTGGGATTTCGGTTTGAAGCTTGGCTATTCAGGTTGAAATAAAATACATTGTTACGATGTGCCAACAGGGAAGTATGTGATTCACCATTGAACTGAATGAACTAGTAGACGCGATATTTGCGGTCCACAGGATTATTTTGCCGTACGTTGTATTTTGTTTTGCTCAAATCGGTTTAGTGACGTCACCCGTACCGAACTGTTTGATCATTCGTAATGAAAGCGCACCATTGATGCTCGCCAGCAATCGAGCTCTCTCATACATGAAACGAATCACGCTTCAGTTTTCGTGTTCGTATCAAACTAAATTGCATGACCACTTGCTATCTCTCACTAGTTCCTAGGACTATCAGGACACCTTGGTGCACACTGTGCTACGATCATCCTACTGGCACAGAATTTTTCCCTTGATTGTTCCCTACACCGAACATTCGTTTTCGATCCTGAAACGAAGCACTCATTTTTGTTCTGCGATTCCAGGGCAGACTGGTCCGGTCGGCTACCATCAATACCGCACATCCCGTGGTGCCCGGAGAACCCATGGTGCGTCTCTTCGCTTGCATGTTGTTCACACGGCTATTCTACTGTAAACTGTCATTTAGCTATTCCAGTGCAGAATTTTTCAGTTTTGAAATTCTTCTTGAAATCACAAGCAAAACTACACTTTCCTTTTCACATAGTTCTAACAGGGTATAGCTAGGCCTCCGAAATCTTATGAAGTTATCAATAATCGTACTCTTTAACAAGAAAAAATAAAAGGCATCTGTGAATTTGCATGCACTGAGGAAACTGTTAAAAGAGCATATCGGGCTCCTTTTTCGGATGCTGAGAAGTTCAGATGTTGTACCGCTCAGACTTGGATCACACAATCGTCACAGAAATCACCGACTTGATTGAGTGGCATGAAGTGTTGAACTCTCTGAACGTGTGGAACGCCAGTGACTGTACATCGATCAGTTTAGTTCAGTTTGTACAAGCATTAATCATGCACTTTCGTGCGCCGGTTTTGGTTGCTGTCTTTTGGCTGTCAATTTGGATGAAGCAGTAGGTGGAGGACAGGAAAGTTGAAAGTAGAGTCGATCTACACTCATTTCTCGCACTGATATGCTGCCTGACAGGCCAGGATTTGATTAACCGAGAACTATCTGTGAGTACCCTGGAAATCACATCCCCTGGCTAAGACACCTCGCCAGTATTGTTCACACAGGTTACTCATGGATGGATTATTTTGCTGCGAAGATTTTTGACATACGCTTAGGACTGAGCTGGTGTGAAATTCATTTATACATGGACACAGTCATAAACATATGCACTAGAGGTGTTCCGTGAGCTGTTTACATTACAGCTGCGACTTTGGACTCTCCTGTACAAAGGTTCACAACTAGAATGTAACGCGATGCCATAAACAAAATACGTTTGAGGTTACTGCGCTACAGCACAGCAAATGGGATACCGGCAGTCAGCGAAAGGTGAACGCCAAACGTTATTATGTATTTAGAATCTTACTACTGATAACCGTCAGTAATAGAAGTAGTCAACAAAAATATGGGAGAAACGGTCTCATTGCGTTTCCGTATACCGTTAAGCTAGGTCGGCCCCGCGTATTCACTCAACAGAACACTACATGACCCCCA